AGAGAGAGAGAGAGAGAGAGAGAGAGAGAGAGAGAGAGAGAGAGAGAGAGAGAGAGAGAGAGAAATAAACCGTTTAAAGTTATACGATTGACTGCGCGGACTTGCGAATCGTGTTTGCCGAATGAATATTCATTGGGTGCGATATTGAGGAGCTAATTAACGCGCGGGTGCAAATGCGGCAGGATGCCAACGATCCTCCTGACAGCTGCAAAACCGTTCTACGTAATAAAAATATCCGGGTAATAAAATAGCAATTATCGACGACGGCGGTTCTATCTGTGCTCCGGGTGATACGATACGGTGTGCGGCCGTGCGGTCGTAAAATCATGTCAGCGAACGTCCCAGACGTCCGGAAGACGTGAAACGCAATTTCGTAGGAATGCTCGAATCGAACGAGGAAGCGCAAGGGAGTGCGATTGCTATTCCGCGATCGCTTCTGTAACGTTCAAGTTCAAGGCGGAGAGAATGCGTATAATACACGCGTACTACGAGCACGCCCGTTTACTGTAAACCGAATCGATTCAGCGCATTATTTCCATTTCCCCGCGTTTCGTCGAGTCTTTTATCTCCTCCAAAACTGAATCGCGAGCACAATTTTACGTCAATCGATAAACGTAAAGGGAGAAGGAATTCCCATCTGAAATCTTCTCTCGTTGCTCAAAAATACACTTCGGAATGCCATTTCCCGATTCCCGAAGAGAGATAAACACGTAAGCGGCGAATCTTCTGCGCGGAATGTAGATTAAAAAAATTTCAAAAAATTTCTGCCGATTCTGAACGGCTCGTGACGATTTTAAAAATGTCATTCCGAACTGCTCTACGCAATCGCTCGGACGCTCGGGGAAAGAGAGCGATACGCTACTTCTCAGCGATACACTATCTGTGTGTGGTGATCGCCTCGGCCGATCGGATCCGACCGCAACCGCGCGGTGGAATGCAGCTATGCATCTCATTCGCCGTTCGGCGTTCCTCGGCGGTGAAACCGGCGCGCGAGCGGCTGGTGCTGGCGGATAAAGAGGTCGTCGTAAATACTTGGACGTTAATTCGCAGCGAGTTTTGTAGGACACGCTGCGCGAGGCGAGGCGGGGCGAGCCCCGGGGAGGGAGGGGAGGGGGGGGGAAGAGGTCCGCTCGCGTACGCAAGCACGAAGCGTTACCGGCGTGGCGTGGTTTTACCACGACCACACCTGACCACAGTCAGCCTGGACACACGTCGAACGGTTTCCCATGCCAGGGTCGACGCCCTGCCCAAACTTCCTAATCATCGTCGCGTCGCGTCTCGCGCTGAGAGCGTCTGCGGGACGCTCGTTTCCTCGATACGTCCTGAATTTGTAGTTTACTTCTGAGTGTTCTTAGAATCGGAAAAAGTTTCACCGGATAGAAAAGAAATTTCACCAAGCGATTATTTCATTTACTTCTAGCGCGAACACTCGCACTTTGCTCTTTTATTATTATGTCTCATTGGCTGTGATTAGTGAAAATAAGAATTCATTTTGTAAAAATGGTGGTAATCGATAGGATATAACTGTTACAGTTTCTCTTATTGTACATATTTTGAGTCTTATAGTTCATACTATTTTACTCTTAAGTTTGCCTTTATGACTACTTATTTCCAGCAATTTAATATTACTGATTGATGAAATAACCGATTTCTTCCAATCAGACTTCATCTGAATGCGAGAGTAAACTTGTAATCGTTTCTCAGTGATAATACATTGAGTTTAAGAGAGTAATCAGCTTGAAACTGCAGGCGAACTCTGTTGAAGTACGAACTATCTGGAAAATGTAAACTAAGTCTCTTCAGCTTGATCTAACTTTGCCTGTAACTCAGCGTTAAGTTATCTTCGGAGTTAACTTTCCGACGAGCAACTTCAACTGAGTTAGTAAGGAGTTTGGCCAGATTTACTTAAGAGACGTTTATTTCATACGTAGCTGAAATGCAGCGATTATTGCAACGTGCATTTCAGAATTTTACGCTCTTCGCTGCCTCACAAAGGGGGAGTTACAATCCTCCTCCGGAAGAACTGGCTGTAAAGTTAATTTTGCCTATATAGAAATGTTGAATGTAATCGAACGGTTCTTCGCTCGGGGTCAACGTCTTGTCATAAGCGTCTCGACGGCGCTTTGCTCGATATGGCTAATGCCTCATACCTGATGATACACGCCGCGCTTTAAATGCACGTCTCGTTGCAGGCTTCCGCTGGTGCAACGTTACGAAACGAATGATCGGAATTATTATTGCTCACCGACACGTCGCTCACTGACACTGAACTTCGATGATAAATGCTATCTCTTTCACGCGGACGAGACTCGCTCCCACTTGTTGACTCGCGCGATCGGTGCATATCGCTCAAGTAGAAGAAAGTCGGGAAAGTGTATCATTGAACAGTGGCGCGTATCGAAAGTCGCTGATAACCGGACGAAAGCGGCGACACGTATCGGGCGCCAGTCTCGACACCGACAGAAAATTCTATCAGTTGCAAAGAGAGCGAGCTTTGTCGAAACAGTAGTATCCGTATCCGTTTCCCATTTCATTTGTGCCACTGTGAACTTACACCCGCATCCTAGTGTAACTCGACGAATACGGTGTATTTCCACGCGGAAAGTGAAATTGCGCGACGATGATCTCTCTCGCGAATTCAGCGTCACGCCGCGTTCACGAGACGATAAATAATTAATATCGACCTATTAAAATTTAAAATACATTATACGATAGTCATATAAAAGATTTGTTATATTCCGTAAGCGTTCCGCGGCTTTTTGCGATTTATTATCTGTACTTCCGCGAGTCAACAGCGTACGCAAATAAACCTGTAAGATCGAAAACGTTCGAGCAAATAATGATCGAGCATATCGCTTGAAACCGAACCAGCGGTCTGCCAGCACCCTCGGATTGCGTTTTCTGGCTTGGTAAGCAACTTAAGGATGATGGTTCCGTTTTATTTATAAACAGCCGCAAAGGCACTCGCGCTCGCGTGTGCTCGCAGCGAGTTGCCGGGTTGAACGCCTCGAAGTGCAGCAGACCCGATAAAACGCTAACGGAGTGCGCGTTCACGTGCCTTTTTTTTTTTCCTTTGTCGCGAAATTGTTTATCCGACTTTTCGTCCGATCGTCACCGCGATCGTTTCCAACGCGCTTCTCAGCGCGTTCTCGTCGGGCACGGCGTTAATTAAGAGCTAAAAAATAATTGCGGCGGATCGCGTCGGCGGCGGCGATGCGCTCGCTCCTCTTGCGTAACTCCGGCGCCGCAGTCACGCTTGGTAAAAAGTGTTACGTCCGTTGCAATTAGAACGAGTGGAAGAAGAAGGCGACACCTGAACCTTAACGAAGACAATTAGGCACGATCGTACCTCGGGAAAAACATATAGATACATCGCGTTAACTTTTATTATCGTGCAAATTCTCTTTTCGCGAATGAAAAAAGATAATTTCCACGCTTGAAAGATTTCACTTTTGCCCAGAAATATTCATTTTTATCTTCACATCTTTTCGACTCAGCTAAAACTTTATTCGAGTAAGTAAGTAAATGAAACGGTGGTTTTTCTTAATAAAATTTAATTAATTCCCTCCCATCAAAATGTAAATGTAAATTGTCTCGATGTCGACGTCTTCTTCCTACAACGGTGGCACGATGCGAAATAAATGACGCGGATCACATCTCTCGATGGTTTCTAATCGCTGATATAAAGAGCGGATCTCTCCGAATTATTGACACGCGTAAACGCGATACGTTCGACCAGTCCATGTCCAACTTCTCGCTCAATTACAACTTTCATTCAGGTGCGCAAGAAAAAGAAATCCGCGCTGGCCCGCGGTCGTCGTACTCGTGTGGCGTGACTCCACGCCGATCTGGCTCGACGACCTTTTCTGCGCGAGCATCGATGTCTCTTTTCGCGAGACACCTACTTGCTGCAATCGCATGCCTACTTAACCCGTTAGCGTCGAGCGTGGCTCGGCCGAGCCACGCTCGACGCTATCTCTGAACATTTTATTATCCATGTCACTTAAATAAACTAAAAAGAAATTACCGCTAAGAAAAAAGAAGAAGAGTTGACAAAATTATCTCCGAGTATCTCAAAATTGTAAAAAGCCGTGTACTCCAATTCAATTTTTTGTCTAGTTTTTTTTACTAAGTTCTCTATTATTATGAATATTATTAATTCTTTGTAGGTTTAATGATATTCATATCCAAAATAAATGTATTGTCAAATTGAGCAGTTGAGCATGTGATTGGATAGTGAGAAGTTTGTAAATTTTAGAGAAAAATAAGATCGAATGAGAAAGGAATTTTTTTTAGAAGGAAACAATTTTATATTATAAAGAAGTGTGTTATCGTAAGTTTGTTGTTCTTTTACGATATTTCTTCGACAGTTTGCGATAGTTCTGAAGACATACCTACTCTCGGTAATAATGCGAACCTCTGGCACAGCACGCCACGATCAAATCTACCGGCTATTTTGCCTTCGTGCTACGTTCACGGCCATTTTCACGAATAGAAAGGCTATTTCTTCGAATCCCTGCCTTCCTATAAATACGGGATTAGAATCGGTATGGAGAAAACATCCACTGGAATAAGATATTATCCCTCAATGAGCCTCTACGCATTTGTACAAACCGGTTTCAAACTAGGATGCTATTTCCGAACTGTACAGAAGTGTTTGACAATATTGGCAACATAACTTGTTAGCAAAACATTTCTATTAATTTTTTTCAAAAATTCAAATTTAATATAAATAATATAATAATATAATTTATTTATTTTTCTATTTATACTTGTTTTTTGCAAAATTCCATAACAAGTTAAGTTAAAATTATTTTATTCTTTTTGCAAAAAATATTTAAGTAAAAGATCGTCATAAAATAAAAATTTGAGCAACAAAAAAACTTTTAAATTCCAAAAAGATTTGTCCGGCGTCTTCGCGATGAAGCCTGCCATTACTGTTTCTCTAAATGGATTTTCGAAATGGAACGAAATATGAGGCAAATTCGCATTTCTTTTTCTTCCATCGCGAGTTACACTCGCGTCCTGACGTCATTTTGCAACAATCCGGCCGCCACGTGACAGGTATTTAAATGTACCGTACAGAGAGCTACCCCCGCAACGCCTGCCATGCAACAAACAACAAGAGCGATGCCTCCGCTCGGCCTTCTCCGGCGACTCGCGACTCGCACTCGAGTGTCTCCTCCACCTTTCCTGCGCCTACGTTCACGGCTGCCTCCTTTTCTCTCTCCCGTGTTTCGCCACGAGGGGACGAGAAGAAGGCACTCTTTCTCAGGTAACGCGCGCCGTTCACCTGGGCGTAGAGAGAGAGAGAGTCCGGTTCTTCAGTCTCGTAGCGGCGGGCCGGAGGGAAGGAGCTCCGTGACCCTGAGGACAATTCCCAGATCTTTTGCTCCGTTCTCTCTTCCTTGTCATTCTTCTCGTCGCGAATTCTCGCGTTTGACGCCAGACGCATCGCGCTTCCTTCCTCTCTTCGTCGTCTTCCGGCCTCGTGGACGCGCTATCGCAATTGGCACCTTGTGTCCGGGCGCGTGAGTTCAGTTCAGTTCCGCTCGATTCCGTTCCGTGTGTGTGTGAGTTATCTTTGGCGGATCGTGGACGGACTTTCAGTGGTGTACATGTACCCTGGGACTAGAATCTCACCGTAGAACGTAGGGAAAAATCAACGTAAGTTTATGGGAAACGCCGCGTATCCCGTGGCGAACGTTGGAGCTACGTTACGACGCGTGAACGTGATTTTGCGTGAGCGCGCTTTTCTTCGAGCAAGCGCTGCAGGGTCACTCGCACTGGCGAAAGAATTTCGGGCCCGAATGGGTACGAGGTCAAATTCGACTGATTTTACGGTGTATGGCTGGTTCTCGAACAAGAAATTTCGAGAAACTATTCGCTATTCTTTCTTAATAATAAATCTTTTTTAAATCTTAATATCTTTTTATGTATAGAAACAAATTTCTAAAAATTATAAAAATTTAACGTGTAACATATTATTTAAAATGACATACAATATATCTACGACGAATACGCAATGCAAGACATTTGATTTCTACACGTGTAGAAATCTTTTAGGACTGCACAGGAGGTGTTGAAATTTACGGAGCGCGATCATACGTCCGCGATCTTAAAATGTCAGGCGGTTGCCGGTCGATGATTCGCATTTAATTAGAAGGCATTGACGAAGAGGAACAAAGCTTAGTCACTCAAGGTTCCGAAATATATATTGTACAATTAAAAAAATCAAGACAAATATTTATAGTTGAAATAAGAATATGTAGTAATAAAAATAAGAGTATGTAATATAGCTATTACATTCCAATAAATAATTAAAACAATACGTAATTTATTTTTACTTTGTTATTAATAACTTTATATTAATAATATAGATTTTGTGGTACATATTACAGGTATTGTAACACTTAAAGAACATGTAAATAGTCCAAAATAAACCCACACAAAATGAACACATACAATAAGTACAAATAAGCATAAACAATAAACATATTATACGTTAGTTTCCCAAGAAATTTATTCTGTAAAGAATAACCTTATTCTAGAAAACCTATTTGTGTGAATGAGAAAAATTTCTCACATTAAATTAACATTAATTTGTGTGGCAATACCCACTTCAATACAATATCATATACGTATATATGTTTCTTTTATATAATTTGATTAAAATATTATATTTGCTTGTATTATTTATGACATAACGCAATGTACAAATTACTTCAAAATCTTTTTACACGGAGATATAACTGGAAAGTTTTCCCTTTTTCGATGCCTCGAATAACCGTCTCGATCGCAGTCAGTTCTTGCGTCGCGATTCGCGAATTTTCTTTGCCCGATAAATCGCTACTGGCTCGATCTTGCGCAGAGAGATTACGTATAGTACAAATTTGCGTCGTAAACCACCGTAGGAACGCGCGTAAATACAAAAAGAGAAAGTTTCTTGCGCATTGAATTTTACGTACCCTTCGCGTTCCTCGCTTTGCCTTCGTAAAATGCTAATAGGGTATTGAGACGAATGAAATTACGAGTTACGTTTGCATTTGCAAGCCAGGCTTGGCTGCGAATGATTTAAGAATGCACACTCGCTCGACACGATGCGATAATTTCATGGCATCGCGATCGCAAAACTTCATCCACCACAAACGCCGGCAAGAAAAGAAAAGCGATTGCCGGATTCCTTCGCACTCCCTTTCTCGTAATTTCTTCGCGAGTCGTTGGACTCGAATGAACGCAAGTTCCATCGATGCAGAAATAATTATTTAATTCGCTAAATATAAAGCAGATATTTTTAATGTCAGAATTGAAAAGAATTATGTTTATGATGCTTTGCGACAAAAATATTTCCGCTGCTACGAAATTACGATTTGCTGTTGGATTTAACCGAACTACCTCCCGCAGAATATCATGGCTTAATCGTTAATGTTTTAATTAGAAATTGTAAATACTGAGTTTCTATTAACATTGATTTGCAATCGCCTAACGACTTTAGAAAGTTTCTATATAGTTCAAAAAGTTACAATTCCTCCAGATTTAACTTGCAACTTGTTATTTTTTTCATTTCGAAATTTTTTCATTTGTAGTATTAATATCTGCGCCATTATAGCCGCAAAACATAGGCCGGTCTTGGGGCTTTTAATGTAGATAGGTGGATAGATAGGTAGGTAGCTAGGTAAAAAGATAGGCATGACTTGTAGATGTGTAGGTAGCGTGTAGGTAGATAACTGCTCGCACATGGCACAGCAGACATCCTGACCGTATCTTGCATATTAAGGGCAAGCATTATTCCGAATTGTTCGACCCTTATCTTGCAAGCGCAGCACAAATGCGCAGCTTGCAAGCTGAAATTGCAAGCTAAATTTCTATACAATTTCAATGTTACGCTAATTCCACTTTGTGCTTGTGCACTTAAATTTTATTAACTTTATATACATTTTCTTTTATATTTAAAAGAAAATGTATATAACCATTCTTTACAGAAATGCGAAAGCGTCGATCAATATTTCTAAAGAAAAAAAAAAAAAAAAATTACGATCAAATCTTGAAACAAAGTCTACTAAAAAATTACATAGTACACGCTTAAAACAGCAATACAAAACAGCATACGACTTAAAGTTTATTTCCTATAAGTAATGCTTAATTTTTAAGTATATGAATGATCGCCGCAATCAAGTTCTCGCTACGCTTCGCTTGACTCCGTAACTTAAGGACAAATTCGCTGAAGCTATGACGCTACCTGGTTGGGATACCGTTAGTCGCCGACGGCTAGAGCATATCATCGCCGTGAGAAATTCCAATCACGTAACAGACCTCAATCACCAAACAAAAGTTTCCAAAAAGTATCAATTGAAATAAATCTGTTGTCCAAATCGCCGAATATGCCGTCCCTTCAATCTATTGTTAGAAAGTCCAATATCATTGCAAAGCCATTATTCGACATTCGTCGAGGACGTGTCCGTGCATTTTTCGTGCATCTGAAACCGTGAAACCGTTAAATTCTTTTGCATTCGCGGCGTCGGGTTTAACGAGCGCGTATAAGCGCGCGGCGCGCATTTTCCCGCCGCTTTTACGCGGCGGTGATCGCGAGGCCCGCGACTGCGGTTTCCTCGTTGCGACAATCCGCAATATCGTACGGCCGCGCCGCGCCGCGTCGGCATTTCGCGGGACCGCATTTCTCACGCGCGGCTCGCTAATGCCGCAGCTGCGTCGCTCGCCACGCGGCACAACGCCACGGCACGGTGCAACTGCACGATGCCACGCCCTGCGTGCTACCATCGCGCTTGCAACGCGGACGTGCAACGCGCGGCGAGCCTCGTGCCACGATATCCACGACCGAATGGTGCACCTCGTGTTTTCACCGCTCCGCTCCGCGGTCACGTGATTAAACGCACGCAGCTGCATCTCGCGTTAAATCGCGCGCGTGCGATATTGGCGGCTGCCGCGCCGTTGCACCGCGCTCCACGTGGCCGCGCTTCTATCGGTCGACGAACTACGAGAACTGCGTGAAATCGCATGGCTATTGCATATGGAAGCATGGCATTCAAAAAGTTTCTATGTTTTCGAAACGTAAAAAATTGTTGTAAATTTTTTCTACGCTTTTAGTAGTAATTTGTCTTTTGAACGAAAATCTTTCTTGCATTACATTTAAGTAAGTAAATGTTTTCGAATCTTGCGCAGAGTGATTGCCTGTTTGATTGATTAGAATAAAAGAGATGAATTATTACAACATTGTTAGCGTAAAATTGATTTTAATTATCTTGAAAAAAAAAAAACAATAATTTGCTATTTAGATGTAGAACAGCGAGTGAATAGGGGGAGTAGCAAGATAAATTTATACCACTTTTAGTTGCCGTGTCGAATCAACGAAGCACTTAAACGGTAAATTAAACGATGCCAATTCCTATCTGAAAACGAATGTCATGCTTCCTCGACGTTCACTTATCGCGTGACATTGTCGTTTGTCGACCGCGCGTAGCTTTATCGGTCAGCGAACCGTGAGAATTGTGCGAGATAACAAATGTTAGGTCACTTCATAAGAAAACGCGGCAATGTAGCTTTACATTTCATACCTCGACCCTGAATTTCCATCGACCGCCACGTCCATCCCGCATTCAGGAAACAAACGGTAAACCCCGGCCGGCTTTAATGAGGACGATATGACAAAAGTCACACTTGCGAGAATGAGGATTATGGTCGGCGCTTAATGACACTCGTGTCCTTCGCTGAAGAAAAAAAAATGGAACGCATGTCACGAGAAATCGAATTTACGGAGTTGTCATACAATGATTACATTACATTCATTTCTTGCAAGCGAAATGCGCATACTGAGAATTTTCGGCAAACTAAAATTAATTTAAAAATAAATTGAAGAAGAAATATTAACAAACGGATAATATAATATAATAACAATAATATAATAAACAGATCATACAACTGGTAACATGTCTCTTGATGAACTCTGTAATTTGGCATTCCTTATATTGTTTTCTGATTAGGAACAGGTAATAGGTAACAATAATAGTTCAAGTTTAGTCTTTACATCAAGTCTACTTTGGGCTTAATGATAGGATATATACTCTTAGAATAACTTAACGGTAGCCCTCGCTAATTGGCCCTCGTGTACGAAGCGAAAAGCGAATGAATGGTCCGTGAATATGTAAGGCGGAATTAAGGCGAAACTGGGTTAAAATTCGGTAGGTGTATCGCTCGTTTGGTCGAACCGTGTCCAAGGAGCAATTTCTTTGCAGGTCCTGAAAAGACCCGGAATAAGTCACACTCGCGTTCGCGCATCGACTTATATAGCACCCGGCTATGTAGACTACGCACGTAGAACTTGCCGCCGGCGACAGAAGGCACGTCGCATGCTGCATCACCATTGGGTGACAGACTCCTAACCGCAGGTGGCTCGAAGGAGGAGAACAGGACGCGGAATGCGCTTACACAATCGCCAATCGGGCCGCATGAAAGAAACGTCGGACTGACTAGGCGTTTTACGGACTGGTATTAGATACCACTTTCAACTATTGTACGGTCAAGCAAATCGCCGTAATACCGCAGAAACAGTTTTAGCGATCGTCGGGCGGTATCATGGGGATACTTGTAATCGCATAACTCTCGAGTAAACGGAAATCCCCCTGCGCGCGCGCGCGCGCGCGCGCGTGCGC